GTTCGCTGCATTGGAAGCATTTATCATGCTGCTGTAAACATTTACCATCAGACACAGACACTGGTGGGTGCCCATTCTGGATGGTTCTCTAAATTTAAAACTTAATTTAACATCAGTCTCTCCTTTTCATTCTGTATAGAGAATGACAAGGATAAACTGTTGTTATATGATAACTAGTTGACACTTTTTGGTATTATGTTTTAAATTGGTAATAATTGTTCTATCACAACGAAAAAAAAATATTTTTTTTACCTAGAAGACATACAAAAACGCTATTTAGTCTATAGACTTATCTATGCTATGACGTCAAAACATTTGTAAACAAACACTCGCAAGCACGTAGGAAATAAACTTTCTAAGTTAATATTATAAAACCACGATTTCTAATAGATCATATGAAAAATATAGTAGTTATCATGATACACTTGGTAGAAGACTCCAGAAAAGTTGTGGTTTAAATTGCCAAGAGAAATAAACATACTTACACATGAACATATGCTTAAAACATGCTAAATCCTGTAACTTTATCGACTGAAAGTCTTTTCTTTTTGCAAAGATCAATTCGATGTGAGTAGGTGCTCATTGATAATATTAAAAGTTTAAAAATACAATTTTTAAGATTATGAATGTACCTACTAAGTCAAAGAGTTTTGTCGTTTCTGCTTTCACAAATCCTGAGGCCAGCATTAATTTAGTCAACAAAACCAATAGGTAACGGGAACCTTTTCTACAAGATACAAGAGTGTTTAGATACATCTTTATAAGAAATAAACATTTGTATAGTTTTTAAGTAAAGTAACGGAAAATATTCTTCTTTATTCTAGTGAATTAAGTTATTTTACAAATTTGAAAAAAATTAAGAATATACGTAGATTCTGGGACTGAAGTTAGTAGGTTTCCAGAAAAGGCAGATCGTAAAGGCAACGTAGATCTACGTAAAAAGACGTAGAGTTGGCAACACTGGGGAGAGGCTTAGGTAGCCCGAAGGTCGTGTTATGGGTTCAAGGAAGGCCAGAATGTTTCGCAAAATATGTGTTTGAAAGCGAACAGCCTCACAGCAATACTCCAAAATTTTAAATCTTGACTGGGTCAGCTGACGGTCTTTCCACCGCTACACAATCAGCTGATTGTTGTTTTCGTACTCTAATTTTTTTGAAGAATCGCGTAGTTAAATTTCATTCGGCGTATTATAACTTTATTTTACGTTTTTTTTTTACAAATTCATGCAGCCAGCTGACGCATAATCCCCCCTCCACGATGCAGCTGACGATTTTTTTTTTGCTCAGTATGACATCAACTATTTATGGAAAAAGTTTCAGCCAGCGTACTATTACTTTTTTTTTTTTTTTTACCTCTTTCGCAGCCTCCTACACCCGCACCCACCGCTACTTGAGCAGCTGACGGTCGGTTCACTTATTAGTCATATAATATCAACTATCGACGTTAATATCAGCCGGCTTACTATGACTTTTGCATTTGCAACGCTACCTCCCGGACTATTATATTTTCAGTACATTTTAGTTACTATCGGAGCGTGTGAGTATCAGGCTCGCATAACTGAAATGGGTGTAGAGGTCTGAAGCGCTCGTGGGCGGACCCACGTCCCTGACATGGTTTTATTGTATGTGCCAGCGTGAGTACCAGGCACCTATAAGTTCTTAGAGCCAGGTCTATAGCATGCAGATTGTAGGGAAATCAAACGCTCCTCTTGGCAGATGGACCCACATCTGTACTTACTTCACAATCTGTACCCACTGTGACTCGATCACGACTATATGATCTCCCCTGGCGCCAAAGCTGGATCCACCCTTGTCACACCGTGAGTATTAGGTCAAATAAGTTCTTAGAGTTAGGTTTATAGCATGCAGGAAAATGAAACACAACGGTCGCCAATAAGATTGCTTTTTTGGAAACAAAACACACTTTTATTAGATAATTTCTTATATTTTCATACAAATTTTAATATTTTAGGGGGAGCCCTTCGGCGCGGAGCATGAGAGTAGGTACCAGGCTCTCATAGATCTGTAGAGCTATAGCATAGGCCTACAAGATGCAGAGGTCGGGGGCTTGGGCCAGCAGTAGCGTGAGTATCAGGCTCCCATGTTTTTAGAGCCAGAAAAATGTATTTATTGATTTTTCGGAAATAAAACACACTTTTGACGTGACAACGTCTTAAATTAGGTTGCGGCTGGGAGTCACTTATGAAAAAGTGTAACGCTCGGTAACGTTACGATGAGTCTCTCGTGTTAAGTTTAAGTTTACATGTACAATGTTTTAGTAAACAAAATATATTTCTATAGTTAAAATTTGTGCAATTCTTATTTTCATTCAATTCCTTGTTCCTATTGTGCAATTTAATTATATTCATATCAATAAATATTCTACCGAGAAAAAGACGTTGTCACGTAAAATCTTCGCCCGTAAAACCGACTTTACAGGCAACCATTTTTTATTAGATAATTTCTTATATTTTGATACAAATTTCGGTATTTTAGGAGGAGCCTTTCGGCGCGGAGCATGGGAGTAGGTACCAGGCTCGCATAGGTCTGGAGAGGTAGGCCTACAAGGTGCAGAGGTCGGGGACTGGCGCGCGCCCTTCGCGATTTATTCACGATGAAGTGTGCCAGCGCGAGTACCAGGCACCCATAAGTTTATAGCATGCTGATCGTAGGTAAATGAAACACAATGGTCGCCAGTAAATTTGCTTTTTCGGAAACAAAACACACTTTTATCAGATAATTTCTTATATTTTCATACAAATTTCAATATTTTAGGGGGAACTCCTCGGCGCGGAGCATGGGAGTAGGTACATACCAGGCTCGCATAGATGTGGAGAGGTAGGCCTACAGGGTGCAGACGCGTAGTATGAGAGTAGGTACCAGGCTCCCATAGATGTGGGTAGCTAGGCCTACAGGGTACAGAGGTCTAGAGCGCGCGCGGACGGACCTACGCCACTGACAGTTATTCGCCTGGGTGATACGAATATGAAGTGTGTGACAGCGGGAGCACCAGTCCTTATAGCGTGAGTTTCAGGCACCCATAAGTTTTTAGAGCCAGAAAATGTATTTATTGATTTATCGGAAATAAAACACACTTATAATTAGATAATTTCTTATATTTTGATACAAATTTTAATATTTCAGGGGGAGTAGCATGGGTGTAGGTACCAGGCTCGCATAGATCCGGAGAGCTATAGTATAGGCCTACAGGGTGCAGAGGTCGGGGGCGCGGGCCAGCAGGTCGGCGGCGGCGCTGACGGCGGCGGCCCACGCGTGCAGGCGGGCGGCCAGGGCTGCGGCCCCCGCCGGGGGGAGCGCCCGCGGCCGGACCCACGTCACCGACATACTCTCGCTCACCTGGGGGGGAACACCGACCATATAAAGGGCTGTTTGTTTCTTAGGCTAAAATAAAACTAGTTTTAACGAGTTAATGCACAAAAATTTATTTATTTATTGACGTTTTGGAGAATACCGACGATGCAGACCTGAAAAGGCTACGAAACGTCAATAAATAAATAAATAAAGTTTCATGCATTAACCCGTTAAAACTAGTTTTATTTAATATTATGGCTGTTTTTTTTTTCTAAATGGCTTCGCACGGCTTTTGCATTTAGCCAATGTCAAGTGTTAAAGTGTTTACAAATTCTATAGCACTCGTGGTCAAAGTAAGTGGCAGTCAAGTCAATCCCCCTTTCCCTATGTTTCAGTAAAAGTGTGGGGATTTACTGGAACCTCCCCGCGGACTTCTTGAGGGAACGTCGAAAGACACTTTCGGCTATTTTGTTTCACTTGCCAACACTTGTGCATGTTCCCGAACACTTAGCGGTTAATAATCCACCATTATTAGACACTAACATCCGCCTCAACACAATTTTTAACAAGAAAAACAAAGCTGCTAAAGTGAAGCTTCCCGATCCCGCCAAAAGTCTGGGGCTGCTTTTCCATCAGAGATGTGCTATGTTACGTTGCTGTGGGTAAGTTTGATATCCACCAATCAAATTCATCGGTCCACATAGCATAGCACTGGTGGAAACGGGTTCAACTAAGCTGTTTTTGAAGTGAAAATTTCTTTAGCGGCGTTGTACACTTTTTTTTGTATGGATAAAAAATGTTAAACTCGCGTCAGGTTAAACACGTGGGCTGATCGCATCATGACACACAATAAAATTGGAAAGGTTGTTGACTTTCAATATATTGGACGAAACATAATAAGTCTCTATCTAGGACGTCCACGTGGCAGCTTTTTGCGAAGAAAATGCATTTTTTTACAATAAATGTCGCTAAATGCGCTTAAATGTGATTCATGTAAGTTGATTTCTTTACAATAGATGTCGCTATCTGCACTTAAACGTGATTCATGTAAGTTGATTTTTCTGAGAGATAAACTTTTTTAATGTAATACAAATTGTCATGTTTGTGTGCGATAGCGCAATAAATAAATATTGTATTCTACCACACACATGATAGTACTTTTATACTAATAATTAAAGCGATTCGTGCAAAATTATTCCCTAACCATTCCAAAATATTAAAAATGCACAATGTTAATATTCAAGTTTTCACTTCTGCCTGCACTCCCGGAGTGCAACACGTCGTTTTTTTTTTATATGGAACGATGCGTGCTATGAATACGTGCTATAATGGCCGCGAATGGCGTAGCTATATCGAGAGAAGAGTGCCCGTGTTTGTCACTGAAAGTAAACATGCTATCGGAGAAGCAAAAAGTTATTTTGTATTTCGCAATGTGCGAAGAACTCGTGGCGGAAGATAAATCGAAAGCGCATCTTCATTGCACATCTTACTCGCCCCGCTACATAGCTTAGCATCAGTGGAAACGGTCGCGTAGTTTCGTAGCTTAGCTAACACATTCTCGCAGCATAGCTACATACCCTAGATACACTAACACGAACAAAATCGTGCCCGAAACCTGTCCAAAAAGTACATTGGACGATCCACGGAGCTCCGTAAGATGATCGCGTAGACAAAGACAATATAAGGCACTATTTAAACATTGAAAGTCACCTTTAATGCGCACTGTATAAGGTCTTAATTAAAACGCACGTGTCAAGAGTTATGACAGTTCGAGATGCAAGCTCGTAAAATTTTACGACTTATTGCTATATGCGGAAGAATATAGACCTTATGTCTTTGACTCTACGCGCAATTTTGAATGCGCTATTAGCAACACAGCAGGTACGGACCGCGAGGAAAGAGAAGGCTACCGACCATGCATTTGAATATCATAAATATTTTCTATTAAACCAGTTTATAGTAAGTAGGGGAAACTACCCAATCATGGGCACTCTACCTATTATTGGCACTTTTGACTTTAATTCGAAAAAAACAGGAAACAATAGATTGTAGGAATAATGCTGCCAATTTTCAAATTTCGATACCATACTAGGTTTTTCTTTTTAATATGTAACGACCTTGAATAATCTATTGTTTCCTTGTTTTTCCGAATTAAACTCAAAAATTCCAATAATAGGACGAGTGCCAATGATTGGGTGGTTTCCCCTATTAAAACAAAATTAGCTTCAAATGCGTTAAATTAACAAACATTGATGAGATCTCATTTCATTTCATATCATATTCATTTCTTATTTTTTCACGGAGCACAGCGGCATATTGACTTTTCAACGGTCCGCGTGTGACTGTGAACCAAGAAGTGCTCGAGTCGTGTTCAAGCACTTCTTGATAGGGACACATTTTTAACGCACGTGGTGTATCTAGGGTATTCAATATCGTTGTTTAAAATGCTCAAATCGTGACGCGGCCTTGAAAAGTTACCCTCATCTAGTTTGACTTCATAATAATAAAGTGACCTGGTCAATGTGTCCCTTGATCAAGTTCTCGGCGAGTGCCTTCATGAGCAGTAGTTCCACTTCGTCCCTGGGCACGCGCGCCTGCGTCGACACCTCCGCGAATGTCAGTTTACGCTGCGCCGATGTGCGGTTGAATGCCATCTGAACAACAACAAAACTATATTGGAATAAAACTAGTTTTTATGGGTTAATGCACGAAACTTTATTTATTTATTGACGTTTCGTAGCCTTTACAGGCTTCGTCGTCAGAATAAAACTTTTATTCTACGAAACGTCAATAAATAAATAAAGTTTCGTGCATTAACCCGTAAAAACTAGTTTTATTTAATGAGTGATGTGCGTGAAAACCTAAGAAACAAATATATTGGATTTTTTTCTAGTTACATTTCCTTTAGATTTAAACATCAAGCAGTTACATGCTTAAAAATAAAAATTATAACTATGATCTCTTCTTTCGAACGTTTAATACTTGTAAAAGTATTCATTTGACATTGTGGGTCACCTATAATGCGAAGAGATGGCGCTGCCTTACAGCTTAATAAGAATTTCAACGCGGCCATCAGGGCCGCGGTAGCATAATTAGTTACTATATTCGCCCGAATTGCGAAGGGTGCGAGTTCCGAGTCCCGTCTGCTGCCTGGTCCGCGTGGAATTTTATCTAGTTATTTCTTTAGATTTAAACATCAAGCAGTTACATGCTTAAAAATAAAAATTATAACAAAATTATATTTTAAACATCATTTAAAAAACTGTACCATGTCAAGTATACAATATTAATTTTATTATTTAAGCATTTAACTGCTAGACGTTTAAATCTAAAGAAAATTTTACTAGAAAAAAATCTACGCAGACTAGGCAGCACACGGGACTCGATCCCCTTCGCTATCCGGGCGAATGCACCGACCATTATGGTACCGCAGCCCTGATGGCCGTGTCGAATTTCACTGGCACTGACAAATATCCCAATTTTAAAACTGTCAAATAACCCTACCTTTACACTCTCAAATAACCATACATTTACACTCTCAAATATCCCTTAAAACCATACGTTTACACTCTCAAATATCCCTTAAAACCATACGTTTACACTCTCAAATATCCCACATTAAAACAGTCAATTAACCCTACATTTACACTCTCAAATAACCATACATTTACTCTCAAATATCCCTTAACCCTTAATTTACCCGGTAGGTCCCTGGGACTCCATTGAAAACTTTCCGCGCTCATAAAATCGTTAGTTTTTTGAATTACAAATTGTGCGTTCCAATACCTTCACGGAGTGACGCTCCGAGTGCGTAGGAGAACAGACGTTGCCGTTCGCGGCTTCTATCGGTAAGTAATCACGCTAGCGGAGTCCGTGGGACTCCAGCGGGGTATCAATGTTACAGTTTTAGTCTATGTACAGCATTTTTAACTGTGATTTTTTTACTTTTGTGGCGGCGACATCTATATGCCCCACATATATACAACGGATGGAGGAAATCATTACTCACCATCCTCAAGAGATGGCGTTACCTGCACTGCGATCTTAATAGTATGGAAGCCTACATCGCGCAAATGAAATTCGGAAGCTAACTCTTCATATATACGATGCCCGACTAATATCAGTCGGGCCGCGGCCCCCGAGCTAACATCACCCAGCTCGGAGGAAGATCTTCCCCTTTGGCCTTCCTACACTTTCAGTTGATATAATGGCGTCTCGTAGTTGTATAAACGTCCTTGATGAAGATGCTTGACTTCATATTTAGACGACTTCATATATTTGCCATAGTTGTACTAAGCCTGTGTGCCTTAGCTGTGCAAAAAAATATGCAATAACTGTGTCATCAACCGTGACTAGAAAGTCTTGCACGTTTTTTCTTTCTTGTTCAAACCATGTTCTTTTTTACTTTTTATGAGAATTGTTTATATTTTTGTTATATTTCTTTAAAGATTACTTTATAATATTGATTTGTTTTTGAAATGTTGACATTAGAAGATAGGTGTTATAATTTTGTTACAAAAAGTGAGATTATCTAAAAGTTCCTTATTAAAAGACTGTGATTGAATGATTTTAAGTAAAAAGATAAGATAATGTAAAACCAAATATTAAAGCAAATTAAACTAGCATTTCATTTAAAAAAATGGTTTATTTCCTATTATATTTACGATTTAAAACCTGGGAGTCCTGGGGACTCCACCGGGTAAAATGTGTATGTATGAAGTCACCGGGTAAACCAAGGGTTAAAACCATACGTTTACACTCTCAAATATCCCATATTAAAACAGTCAAATAACCCTACATTTACACTCTCAAATATCCCTTAAAACCGTATGGTTTTATAGTAATTTGAGAGTGTAAACGTATGTTTACTCTCAAATTACCATAAATTTACACTCTTAAATATCCCTTAAAACCATACGTTTACACTTTCAAATATCCCATTGTTTGCGGGACGATGTGAAACTATAAAAATGATCTAGTGGAAAACTCAAAACAAGAAGCTTATTAAAGTCTAAAGGCATCCATATATAAATGATACGCAACAATAGGATAGCGCGACTCACAATCATACAGCGCCATCTATCGACACACGAAATATATACGAAGGATACATCAATATGTTAATATTGATACCAACGATATTAAATACCCTAGATATACCAAAACGAACAAAATCATGCCCGAAACCTGTCCACAAGGTACATTGGACGATAGCGTAGTGTAAACAATATAAGGCATTAATTAAACATTGGAAATCACCTTTAAAGTACAGTGTATAAGGTCTTAATTAAAACGCATGCGTCAAAGTTATGGCAGTCCGAAATGTAATCTCGTAAAATTTTACGACTTATTGTTATATGCGGAAGAATATAGACCTTATTTCTTTGACTCTACGCGCAATTCTGAATGCGCTGTTAGCAATATAGCAGGCACGGACCGCGAGGAAAAGAGACGACTGTATAACGGACCATTCATTTGAATATCACAAATTTAATTTTCAATTAAATCAGGTTAGAGTAAGTATTAAAACAAAATTTGTTTCAAATGCGTTAAATTAACAAACATTGATTAGATACCTGTCGAAAAAACGACATTTTACATACTATAAGTATTTATTTCCCATTATGTCACGGAGGTCAGCGGCATGTTGACTTTTCGACGGTCCGCGCGTGGCTGTGAATCAAGAAGTGCTTGAGTGGTGTTCAAGCACTTCTTGATTGGGACACATTTTGAGCGCTCGCGGTGTAGGGTATTTAATATCGTCGATTGATACATACAACCAATAGTGCGGGTCACACTGACACAAAGCATCTATTGATGCACGGAGAAAACACGTATCTTAACACCAATATTCAAATTTTCCAAAAACCCAACATTTATACTGTCAAATATCCCATATTAAAATTGTCAAACAACCGTATATTAACACTCTGAAATACCCTGTTTTTACACTCTTAACCTATGACATGCGAAAGCAGCCCGCCATCTGTAACCAAGGCATGCTAAGAATCTAGCTCGGGCGGATAGCTAATGCGTTGCGTCTTAGAAATCTTTGAAAATCTCCGTAAAATTCTTTGACACATACACACTAAACTAACAATTGTTTGTTGAAGCTAAATAGCCAAAGAAACTTGTTATAATGCGATTCAATTAAGAATAGGACCGACTGGGCGCCATATTATGATGTTATAGCTGTCAATTCAAACCAAATAGGTAGAGTAAGCAAAAAAAGTTTTTATTTAATAAAACTTATTTACTAAGATTAAGTGAGAAAAAGCATTAGATTTTTTTTAATAACATTTATTTACTAAGATTGAGAAAAGAAAACCACCGGTCACATACGAACATGCAATAAATATGCAAGCATACCTTTATGTAAACGAAAGTTTGAAATCGAGTTTCCGAACGCAACTTAAAGTGACATTTGATTGACGATTTAGGTTATCAACCATTCATGGCCAAAGCTCAATAAGTGAAAAAAGAAAAAAGATAATAATATCAAACGATATTAATTATCAATATTTGTTATTGTTTGTTTACAAATGTTTGGTTTTTATTCTTGATTAGCGGAGTGCTGAAAAAGAGTTCCAAGATTTTTTTGCAAACCCTACTTTTCAAGCGACATTTGACAGATAGAGGTCATTGGCTTTCCTATTCTTATTTGAATCGCATTCTATCTATAATTTATTTATTTAGTCTAATCTATAATTATTTGTTTCATTTCGTATTTATATTTTTTTATAGGCAGTTGATTGCAGCGATCTCCTAAATATTGTCTTTTCTAAAGTTCAATGATTTTTAATAAATTTTAACGGATTTATTTGGTGTTTTTATTTTTTACACCCAAAAGTTTAGACTCTGCGCTATCCATTGATATATTATAATTGTAACTCCAAATATTGATTGACTAATAAAAACTATTTTGAAAATGGTAAACAATGTCGCCATTGTATACTATTATGTGACCGCACTTTACACTCATCTCGTTTTGTAAGTATTGAACATGTAAGTTTGAAAATGCATATTTCTCGTAAATAAACTAAGTGTTTTCATTTATAACGCGATAAATATTAATTTTTAAATAATTACCACTACTTTTTTCACAAATAAATAAAAATAGCACCCAGTTACGCTATGTTTTTTTCATCGTTTTTATTTTACCTAACTACTTAATCTGAGTGACATTTTATTGAAAGTGTTGCAATGTATAAAAACTGAGCTTTCTTGCCATGTGCCTAACGTATATAGTTGTCATAGAAAATATTTTAGAACTTTACCATAAATAATAACTGTTACAGCAATTTCATACAAAAAAAAACGTTATTTTTGGAGTTTACTCTTTATGAATCGATTTGCATATATAAGGGGCCCGGTATGAGAAAAATGTGAGGAGTAAAATCTACTGAACAAATGACTTCGTTACGTTTTTGTGCGCAACCTCATCTGCGCACCTTTCACTTTTAGCTATGGCAACGGATAAAAAACATTAAGTTGTCACAAATGTCAATTAAATTAATAAACTAAAAATAGATAAAATCGGAGCAAAATTAATGAAAACAAATAAATAATAGAATATAGAGAAATGCCGGTAAGTGTATTAGTATAATGCTGGAATAGTGATTTTCAGTACAGATGGAATTATAATATATATTTACAAAACGATGACTAGTGTGTGATATTTTTGAAATTGTGTGTTTCCAGAAATACATAGTAAAATATATGATGAATATCGCTGATGTTAGATGATAAAATGTGTGACATGGAACCTATGATAGTCGAAACCATGGGACGATTCCTGAGGTATCTCTACTTGTAACCGACTTCTTGGGACTTGATTTTGTTTTGTGTCTGTTCAAAGACAATCGTTTTTAGAGTTTAAACTCCGGTCGTGCGTCGGAGCTGACACACACAATTTTTTTATTGTTAACATGTTAATTAGGCACAACCAAACCGTTTAGTTAGTTTAGGGATAATCAGGTTATATAGTTTCAATTTATAATTAACTAGCGGCCCGCCCTCGCTTCGCTTCGGTGTAGAGCTGAAGTGTAGACTACAGTTTTTGTTCTCAGGCTTGTATTATACACAATGACATTCATCTATTATTCTTCTTATACCTGCATGCAAAGTCTCAGCCCGATCGGTTTAAAATTGATAAAGTTTCATACAAACTTTCATTCCTTATTTTATCCCCTTGGGATTTTCTTTATATTTTTTTCCGTAAGGACCTTGTACAGAGTATTAGAAAACTACAAAAAAAAAACAGCCAAATCGGTCAAGCCGTTTTCATGTTATGTCGTGACAACGGAAAACGGGTTTCATTTTTATATATATAGACTTGAATACATACAAAATATTGTGATTCCTCTGGGAAAAGCTCACACGGAGTTGGCCTTCAAATTGTCAAATAACCCAACATTTATACTGTCAAATATCTCATATTAAAATTGTCAAACAACCGTATATTAACACTCTGAAATACCTTGTTTTTACACTCTTAAACGCTTAATCTTTCAGAGAATTTTCTTTCTCTTATCCACAGTTTTATCAAAATAGGGTATTTGACAGTATTAAAAATAAACTGCCAATTGTTAGCATCTGTATTTAAAATGAATATAGGCCGGGCTTTTTACTTTTTTTACAGAAAAAAATATTCATAATGTTACTAAAAACCCACGATAAAAATGATAGTTTTCTTGTCTTTTCTCACGTGACCCAAAACGCTTGGGATTGGCGGAGCCTAAAATGACGTCACACGCAAGTAAACTTCCGGTTAAAGTGACATTAGATTGTATGGTTTGACGTTTTAATGACAGTCGTGTGACGTCACACACCAGTGAGACGCCATATTGTCCAGAGATACGTTTTTCGCGGCAACTTGAAAATAAGAGTTTTTGAAGTTAGATACGGGACCATGTATTTCGACACTGTTGCAAGCGCCATGATCACGGAGTAACTTGGTTACTCCAGATCACGTGATCACGGAGTAACTGGTTACTCCGTGATCGGTAACAGTGCCGAAATATCGGAAACTCGCTAAAAACAAGGTAAATGGTAACAATCCCGTAAATAACTTCTCTAATATATAAAATTCTCGTGTCGCGGTGTTTGTGGTTAAACTCCTCCGAAACGGCTTTCCCGATTCTCATGAAATTTTGTGTGCATATTGGGTAGGTCTGAGAATTGGACAACATCTATTTTTCATCCCCCTTAATGTTAAGGGTAATCGACCCCTAAATTTTTTTTTCAATTTTAGATATATTTTTTATAATTTTTTTATGATACATCATACAAAAATACATACAACCCGAAATTTCACCCTTCTACCACCAACCCCTATTTTTTTATGGCGCTACGAAGTTCGGTGGGACAGCTAGAATTACTATAATGTTAGTGACCATGAAAGTTTAAAACAATATAAAGAGTTTTTGATTTAACTTTTTTACCGAAATACACATACATATGACATTACAACATAATGATGAATATCCACTTTTTATTGACACTAAAAACATTAGTATATAACGTGAGATCGTTTTCTAAACCTTGTCAAATACTATATTGATTAATTCACTACAATCTTACCTCCATTAGACAGAGTATAGCGATCTTCTGTCTCAGCAGCGTGTCTGCCCGCATCAGTTCCGGGAACGCGCTGGCGTGTTGTTGCCGAATGTTTGAGAATGTGTGGATGTCGCCGACAGAGGCCGCCTTCACTGCTTCTATGGCCCAGGAATCGGGCGAGTCTGACAGAGATTGGAGGATTGGGTGGGCCAGCTGTATGGGGAAATAAAAAATATTCAATTCAATATGACGACCTCCGTGGCCGAGTGGTTTCTACGCCGGGTTTCATGGCGTCGCCGACTCGAGAGGTCCCGGGTTCGAATCCCGGTGGGGGCAGATGTTTGTATGATGAACACGAGCATTTTGTACTCCAGTCATGGATGTTTAAATATGTATTTCTATATAAATCTTTATGTATATAATGCTTCTGTGAGTGTGTATGTCACTGAACTTCTCTTAAACGTCTGGACCGATTTTGATGAAATTTTTTGTGTGTGTTCAAGGGGATCTGAGAATGGTTTAGATTCACAATTTTGTCCGCTGGACAACCCCTATTTTTTAGGGCGGTACGAAGTTCGCTGGGTCAGCTAGTATACTTATATATGTACTGTATATGTATTCTATCCGTTACCCTAGCATCCCATAACACAAGCCTTACAGTGCTTACTTTGGGGCTAGGCTAATTGGTGTGAGTGTTGGAAATATTAATTTTTATTTAACTATATTTATAATATTACCAAATAACAAAGCATTATCCTGTTTCTACGAACCACACTCCATATATGGTCAAACCTAACCTAACCTCGCAAACACCCAACCGCAGACCTCTATGACGTCACTGAACCCGATAAAACTGACCTTTTATTTATTCAATTTATTGCACTCATATGGTTACTTGGATGGTCACAAGTTACAAAATGCATAAAGTAACTAACATGAACCCTGTCAGGGTATCGCAATATAGATAAAAATTACAAAAGAGAACAAGAATGATGACTAATTTCTTTTTTCTTCGTTTATCAGGTAGATTATCAAAAAGTATTGGACACGTATTTTTTCTTTTTTCACATAATATAAACATTGCAGAGATATATTGATTTGACAAGTCGCATGACGTCACGTTTGAGTACACTTATAAGGGAAAATTCACTCAAAAGTGACGTCACGAGCCCCCACTCCCAAACTTTGACGCGCTATAACTTTGTCATTTTTTGGTTGATTGCCCAAAGAAAAAATACGTATCCATTATTTTTTGATCATCTAACTGACGGACTTAATAGAATTTCGTTTACTGTACCCCGCCATCACCCCTATTTAACAAATAAACAATTATCTATATGAAGCACCTAATTTTTATTAAACAACTTGTTTTTCTCAAAGTATGCATAAATGTTATTTGTTTTCATCAATATCATGAATCAATATTATGAAAGCATGAAAAAAAACATATATAAAAGCAACTAGTTAAGGGGAGGAAGGACTTTTTGGCGGAATCGGGAAGCGTCAATTTAGCAGTTTTGTTTTTCTTGTTAAAAATTGTGTTGTGGCGGATGTTAGTGTCTAATAATGGTGGATTATTAACCGCTAAGTGTTCGGGAATAGCGAGCTCGATGGCGTAAGTGGTTAGCGCGTTCGGCTGCGATCGTTGAAGTTAAGCAACTTTCGCAGTGGTCGGTCATTGGATGGGTGACCAAAAATTTACTATCTCTCATTCCTCCGTGCTTCGGAAGGCACGTGAAGCCGTCGGTCCCGGCTGCATCTGCAGTCGTTAGCACCCGACAATCCGCACTGGGCCCGCGTGGTGGGTCATGGCCCAATCTTCCTATTCCATCCATAGGGGAGGCCTGTGCCCCAGCAGTGGGGACATTAGTAGGCTGATGATGATGATGTTTAGGAACACGCACAAGTGTTGGCATGTAAAACAAAATAGCGGAAAGTGTCTTTCGACGTTCCCTCAAGAAGTCCACGGGGAGGTTCCAGTAAATCCCCACACATTTACTGAAACATGGGGAAAGGGGGATTGACTTGACTGCCACTTACTTTGACTTGATTTATTACTTTGACCACGAGTGCTATAGTATTTGTAAACATTTTAACACTTGACATTGGCTAAATGCACAAGCCGCGCGAAGCCATGTAGAAAAAAGGGAGGAGGGAAAACAATATTATCTGAGGCATTACAACTGTTTAACGAGCTATCAGCTGAAAAAAAAAATGGGTGCGTGTACTTATGTAGGCGCGTGAGAAGTTATCCTTCTTTGGCATCGTTTAAAATTAGTTTTTAATTGCATGCAAATAATTAATTACAATAAATTAATAAAAAGTCTGGAAAAGGACACAGTCAATAAAGTTCAGTTTTAATTTGAAAAAATAAATAAATAATCAAAATATTCAATTAAAATCACTACTGAATATAAATTATTAGAACATATGTGATTTGCACTTGTATGAAACTCAAACACGTATTCCGAATATACAAACTAGAAACATGTGGATAAATATTATAAATATGAATACCTACAACTGTTACTTTATTACAAATAATAAAGATGTGGTTTTTGGTTCTACTACACCAATGGTCAAGAGATGGCGTTGTAGTCTCCTGAATCGCGCTTTGGTTCCGTTGTTACAGATTAATAAATACTTTTGATAGGCCTTCACAATTCAAATTCAAATTCAATTCAAATTCAAACTCATTTATTCAGTCTAGGCTGTTACAAGCTCTTGTGAAAGTCAAACGCTACGCCATCGGTTCGTAAATCTACGGCGGGAGACCTTGTACTGAGAAGAACCGGCAAGAAACTCAGCAAGGGCTATTTTTTTCTCCCTGTTTTGTTTCACACAGTGTCGTCAATTGAAAGATGACATCAAAAATTGAATACATGTGTTGATGTCAACTTCCATCACATTAATATTATTAATTAACAAAAGTTAAGTATAACTAGGTACTATTTTTAAATTTAGAAGTGGCGATTAAACAATTTTCAACCAAATTAGCAAAGTAAAAAGACAGTCTATTATGTTAAGCCCAAGGTGACTTATCATTTATGAAATCTTTTACAGTATAGTAACCTTCGATCACAGAAAGACTAGATACAGCAAGTAGGTTCGAATCGCGTTCCATGAAAACTCCGCTCAATTTAAAAACTCCACTCATCGCCCGCTCAGTCTGTCGTTGGCAGCTACGCGACCGCCCGTCAATTTCGCAGTGTTTCTCGTCACTAATATTGCAAAAATGCCGACTTGCACGATCAAAACATGTAAAAGTGATACAAGAAAGCACACTAAAACTACTGGAATTACATTTCATGAGTGAGTATGCTTTTAAATACAATTTTTGATAAGAAAAAAACAAAAATTACTCTCTCATACATTTCATCTGGTTGTGTAAAGTGGAGACGGCTTCTTTAAAAAATAAACTATTTTCTTATGTTTGAATGGTAAAGATTTAATACGTAAGATAGGATATTGAGAGGCCTGTTGATTTAGTGGTTAATAAACGGGATTCGAACCCGCGACCTATGGAACAGAACCATAGGTCGCGGGGTCGAAACCCGTAAAGGGAAAATGTTTGTGTGATGAATACGGACATTTGCACCAGAGTCATAGATGTTTATATGACATTATGTATTAATATCCGTTACCTAGCTCTCATAGTACAAACTCTGCTTAGTTTGAGGTGTGAGTGTATCAGATAAAAAAAACGTGTATCTAACAAACTTGTTATGATCATTTTCTTTTAATTTTTAATCTCGTTATTAATTTAATTTTATCTAGATTTCCACAATCGGCAGAGAGGCGAGAAAATTGGATTAATGCCATACTCTTTACAAGGGATCCCAATTGGAGACCTTCAAAACGTGCCTCTATTTGCTCCTTACATTTTCATGAATCGGATTTTTATACCACTAACAAAGGCCTACGGAGATTAAAGAAAACAGCTTTACCTAAATATAAACTAGTGGTAAGTACCTATATCACTTTTACATATTATAAATACAGAGGTGACTCGGTCTCTCTGTGTTCCTTTTCACGCCTAAAGATAAATACCTATAAAGTTTGTTTAACGAAGTTTCAAATGAGTTAATGTTATATGATAGATAAGTTATAATTATATGATACACTAACAAGGTGTTAAATAAATTCAAATAAATGATAGATATGCTAAGTTAAGTTATAAACGTGTATGATCCTGGAAAAAAGCTTAAAACTAGGTGTTAAAAGAAATTCAAATAAATTTTAGATATGTTAAGTTATGAACGTGTATGATCCTGGAAAAGATCTTAAAACTAGGTGTTTTAGGTGACTGATGGCGCAATTACACTTGGTCGTTAGCCCGAATACGATTGCCTATGGAATTCGGACAAACGACTAAGTGTAAATGAACGGAGTCGAGTCGCCCATATCGGACAGTTTTCGTTTTGTTTACCCGACGCCGTCTTGCAGCCCGTGTTCGAGTAAAAACAATGTAATTATTGCATCGGGTGGCCGAATTCCAGTAACGTCTTTCGTGCACCCGAATACGGGCTAACGACCAATTAAGTTGTTTGTGTTAATTATTTCAATATTTTTTTGCAGAATCATTCCAGCCAGCCACAAGATCTACAACATATCGACACATTTGAAATAGACAAACCAAGTACTTCATCTCAAAGATACTGTTCATCCGAGTCTCAAACATTCAAGTCTATTGAAATTCTCAAAGCACCGAGTGACTATTTATTGCGTGAACCGTTACAAGATTTAACTAATTCAACGTCATTTACATCACATAATCTTTTGAATACAACATTCACTGAACTTAAAAATGTAGTTATTAACAAAGAACCAACTAGAACAACTGAAGAGTTTGCTTTTCAACCAAATTGTGAACATCAGGAACCTAACAATACATTTATGCAGAGCTGTTTGCAAGAAAATATTAATTCTCCAATTTCATCTTATTCAGATATAAATTCATATTTAGAATCTCCAAAAACGTATGCCCTTAAAACAAAATTAAGAAAAAAAACTATGCTCGCTGACCTTCGATTAAAAAAATTGAAAAAAGTGCAGAGAATAAATAGAAGATTGATTAAACAGAACTGCTCTTTGAAGAAAATAATAAAAGATCTTAAAGAAAAAAAATATATTACTAGTGACGATGAACAAAAACTTTCTAATAATAATATAATGGCAGCTGAGATATTTAATAGGATGCATTTAAAAAAAAA